GAAAACAGAGTTGATTATAGAGAGAAGATGTTAAGAAACCATGAACAGAATTTCCAAAAAATATGGGATAACATGAAAAGACCAAATTTAAGATTTATCCCGGTAATTGAAGGCACAGAGACACAAATAAAAGGAATGCACAATCTTTTCAATGAAATAATATCAGAAAATTTCCCAAAGATAAAGAATTAAATGGAAAATCAAATACATGAGGCTTACAGGACCCCAAATGTGCAAAATTACAACAGACCCACATCAAGGCACATTATAATGAAAATGCCTAGCATACAGAATAAGGATGAAATTTTAAAGGCTGAGAGAGAAAAAAAATATCAGGTTACATATAGGGGTAACCAATAAGGATCTCAGCTGACTTCTCAACCCTGACCCTCAAAGCTAGGAGGTCCTGGAATAACATAGACCAAGCTCTGAAAGAAAATAGAAGCAAACAAAGAATCCTATATCCAGCAAAATTAAGCTTCAGATTTGAAGGTGAAATAAAAACCTTCCATGAGGCTGTAATCCCAGCAGGAGGATCACGAGTACAAAGCCAGCACCAGCAATTTAGCAAGGCCCTAAGCACCCAGCAAGACCTGGTCTCTAAATAAAATACAAAAAAGGGCTGGGGATGTGACTCAGTTGGTGAGTGCCCCAGGGTTCCTTCCTGGGTACCAAAAATAAAAAACAAACAAAACTTCCATGATAAACAAGTTAAGTTAAAAGAATTCACAACTAGAAAGCCTACACTACAGAATATTTTCAACAAAATATTCCTTGAAGGGCTGGGATTGTAGCTCAGTGGTAAAGCGCCTGCCTCTCACATGTGAGGCCCTGGGTTCGGTCCTCAGCATCACATAAAAATAAATGAGTAAATAAAATAAAGATATGTATACCTCTACAACTAAAAAAAATATCTATTCCATGAAGATGAAATGAAAAAAAAAAGTGAAAATCAGCAAAGGGAGGAATTACACTAAAGGAACAGTCATCAAAGGAGAAACTAATTCAAATTAAAAACTAGACATAAACCAAAATGACCAGGAATACAAATAATATATCAATAATAACCTTGAACAGTAATGGCCTAAACTCATCAATCAAAAGACACAGACTAGCAGATTGGATTAAAAAAACAAGATCCAAAAATAAGCAGATCTCCAAGAGACTCACCTCACAGGGAAAGACATCAACAGACTGAAGGTGAAATCCACATGTCACTCATATGGACCGGGTAAACAAGCACGGGTTTTCTATCCTCGTGTCAAATAAAGTGGACCTCAAGTCAAGTTAATCAGAAGGGACAAAGAAGGACATTTCATACTACTTGAGGGAATTGTACATCAACAAGACATAACAATCATAAATATTTATGACCCAAATAATGGAGCATCTACATACATCAAACAAACCCTTCTCAGTTTCAAGAATCAAAAAGACCACAACACAATAATACTGGGTAACTTTAACATGCCTCTGTCACCACTAGATAGAGCCTCTAAGCACAAACTAAATAAAAAAATTAAGAGCTAAAAAATACAATGGATGGGCTGGGGTTGTGACTCAGAGGTAGAGCGCTCACCTACCATGCATGAGGCACTGGGTTCAATCCTCAGCACCACATAAAAATAAAATAAAGATAAATATTTTAAAAAATCTTAAGAATACAATTGATAATTTAGACTTTATAGGCATATGTAGAATATTTCATCCATCAAAGACTAAAAACATTTTCTTCTCAGCAGCACACGGATCCTTCTCTAATGTGCACCATGTTATGTAAGCTATCACATAGGTTGGCATGCATTTCTAATATTACTGCAATATATTTTTAGCACCTATAGGGTTATTCTGATAGCTCCCTTTCCATTGATATTAATTTTTGTGTTCTTACTTTTCTCTTCATTAGACTTGTTTGATTTTTATCAACTTTTAGCTGTATAATTTCCTCTCTATTGCATATTTCTGCTCCTACTCTGATTTTTTTCTTCCTACTAATTTGAAAATAATTTGATTATTAATCTTCTATTACAAGTACTTTAAGTTACAAATGTTCATCTGAGTACTATTTCGTCCCAGAGATTGTGATATTTTAGGCTTTTATTACCACCTGGTTCAAGCCCTTCTTATTTACTTTTCTTGTGCTTTCTTCCTTGACCTCTGAGATATTTTTCAGTGTGTCATTTAATTTCAAAGAAGTTGACATTTGGGATTGGGGTTCTATATAAGTTAAGATGATTGATTTCTAATGTAATAAACCATGCAGGAAACACGGTCTGCATGATTTCAATTTTTTAAAAAAAGTAATGGTAATGCTTTTTATATTGATTGTATTTTATATTTTATATTGTGTCAAAATATGTGAAAATTGATCAAATTGCATATTTCAAATATGTGCATTTTATTGTAATTCAATTTTACCTCAATAAAGCTATGAAGAAAGAAAAAAAGAAAAGCATCTACAGCCAAGGACTAGTGGCACTTGCCTGTAATCCAGCAAGTAGGGAAGCTGATGCAGGAGGGTGGCAAGTTCAAAGTCAGCCTCAGCAATTTGGCAAGACCCTGTCTCAAATAAAAATCAAAAAGGGCTGGGGATGTGGCACCTATGAGTTCAATCCCCAGTACCCACCCCCAGCCAAAAAAAAAAAAAAAAAAAGACAACGACGACAATCACGAAGAAAGGAAAGCAACTACAAATGGAGTCACCACCTGATTGAGTTTCTGATACTCTCCGTCCTTCTCCCAGTCCTACACACTTTTGGCACAGGACACATGGGTGGACTGAACTAAGATGTGATACCTACCATTACTACCACAGCTTTCCTGGGTATTTCTTGCTGGTAGAGAAGGAAAATTCCAGGGACTTTCCCTTGGTCCCTACTATCATAATACCCCTCACTCCACAGGCAAAGAGAAAAACTGGGGCCAAGAATACCTCATATAATTAATTGCAAACCCACAAAATAAATTATGGGGTGGGTTTTGGATCTGCGGAACTCACTAAGACCAAATACTAGAGCCCAAATTTTACTTATCACTTGATCATCCACCATAAGATCTCATTTTATAAGTTACAGTGGCATTTGGGCCTCATGAAATTGTCAATTCAAAGCAAATTCAGTCCAAGATCATTGTAATGTCATGTGTAGCTAACAAAAAAAATAAATAAATAAACCTTAAAAAAATTCAGAGTCTACTAATTCCTGAAAACTTTGAGTATTTTGTCTTCCCTAATACTGTTACTTTGTAAATGGAAAAAAAGTCCCACTTGAAAGGAAGATTTAAAATATAAATTTATAGTAGAAGTATTTAGAATCTTAACAGACTCCTTTTCAATTTAGGGACTTTTGGTCTCCAAATTGGTTTGTGTGTGGAATTTGTACAAGAGGTTGTGATTCTACATTTTGATGACTCACGTCAGATTTATACTCACCAGACCTGGAGTTCTGCTGTTATATAGATATTCCATCAGAGATAAATTAAGACAAAGGTCTCAGATAAATTAAATGGGTCTCGAACTGTGAAGGAGTGAAAAGGAACACTTAGCACAGAAATGCTAACTACGCGAAGCAGAAGTCACCCCAGGACTGAGGATAGAATTACGCAGCCTTGTAGAGCAGAAACCCACCCAGAAAGGGGCTCCTGGATGGTGCTGGTGTGACCAAAGGAGACAAAGAAACTTCCAGAAATGACAAAAAATAGAAGTGGAGACTTGGAAGTGACTAACGAGGTCTAATGTTGTTGTGGGGCAACATTCAAGAACCTGAAGTAATAGGAAGGAGCAGATCCCTTCTTCCTCCCCCAGTGGCTGGTCTTAGCGCCAGTCTCTGTCTCTAGCACCCCTTTTAGGGAAGACCTAGTAGGAGCCCAATGGCAGAGCAGAAGGTGGCTTGTAGTCAGTCTACACAGCTTTGTAGACAAAGGTGGATCTGGAGTTCAGACAGTTGTGTAAACCTCACAAGGACTGATCCTTGTGGCTTTGCAGCATTTGATATTCCTAAATGCATTTTGTATTTAGGCTTCTGATCCAGGTTGCTCAAATTTTTAGTCCAACTCAAGCACATTGTGGTTGTATGACTTCATGGGAACCGCTAACCTTGTGTGCCTGTTTCCTCTTCTGCCAAGTGGAGATGATACCTTCTATGGCCATCATGAGGATTCTTGGGTTTAGTACACAGGAAGCACTTAAATGCCAGACACAGACAGTACTGTGTCAGCTAGCATTGCTGCTGTTGCTGTTATTACCGCCATCCTCATTACCATGATTACTACTACTTGGGTTGGTGAGAACTGATTCAGCATTTTCCAGAGAAGTCTGATCGTCACACAACACTTGGCAATGTTTCAAAGCTACTCTGTACCCAAAGAGGCAGAGAGTTGGACTCCCTCCAATTTGGAGGAAGGATGTTTTGGTTTTGATTTTTGCATGTTGGTTGTTGGTGGCTTTCTTGCTGTATAACTAATAATTGCTGTCACCTCAGCCTTGTCATTACCAGTTTAGTTTGTTTTGGGTCATTTAGCAAAATTGCATGTATAATGATGCATATTTGCCTCAATCCCATGCGTGCGTGGCCTGCAATTTTCTACTAATTAGACTTTTTAAAGACACATATGCATTTATCTACTCAAATTTGCATCATCTGTTCGCCTATTGCCAAAGCAGATGTACACAGCACCCACTCACCCCTCTGAAGAATATAATTCTCTTATTATCACTGAGTTATTTTTCCACTAGAAATTAGAAACTAGCAGAGGCCCAGATGGATTCTCATCCTCTGAAGTGAGGGCCATCAAAATAGTGTAGACAAAAGGTGCTGAGTCTGAGTCAGGCAAGAATAGTGGTGCTAAAGGAGGGAGAGACCGCCAGATATTTGAAACACAGCAGTAAATCCACCAAGGACCACACACCCACCAGCCTAGCTCCAGCCTCTACCTCAGAAAGGTCTGGATACCCACCAGTCCCCCCACCCCCCCCACCCCCGAGTCAAGCATCCACATACTGCTCATCTCAAATAGCTTTATTTCCCCAGTGTGGGGAAGCTGTGAATAGGGTCTGTGGTCCCTGTAATTCCATGGGCCCTCCAGCCTCCTCCTGCTGTGGCAGGCCCTCAAGGAGGCGGGTGCTAGGCCTCAGAATTCGATCCTCCCAGAGAAGGAATGGTCCTGGGAGAATCCGGGTCTTCTGTGGTGTGTATGGATGACGCTCCAGAAGGTGGTCCCAACAGCTGACCAGGTATAGTTCAGGAGCATGGGGTCCACCTCAAGAACAAGGCCGCTAGGTGCACAAGTAGAGTCCAGCTGGGCCTCACTCTAGGAGCCAAACTCCCTATAGGGGTTACTCACTGAAGACCAGCAGCACTCAGTCTGGAGGGAAGAGAGAAGAGTGGGTAATAAAAACCATGCAGAACCACAGGAACAGAGGCCAAAGACGCACTGGTAGGCCCTACACACTGACCTGTGGGCCCAGTTGGGGGTGGTGGCCCTCCTGGTGGCAGCAAGGCAGAACGGCTCAGGGCCTCGGCCACCCAATCCAGAACCCGGTTACAGTGTTGGACCTGGGGAACAGGAACGAATCAAGATAGGAGAGGGGAACCCCGGTGCTCCCAACCCTGCCACAGCCCCCCAGCTGGACTAAGTCCTCACCTCCCGCTCCAGCCCTTTCAGACGTCGCTCATACTCCCGGATCTGTCCCAGCTGCTTCAACGCCATGTCCACTCTAAAAAGGGAGACCCAAAAGGGAGACTTTTGGGCACGTGTCAACCAACCCAGAGACCCGGCCCCTCATGCTCCACTTCCGCCCAGGCTCGTTACAGGCCCCGCCCCACTCAGGGATCCGCCCCAGGCCAGAAGCCCCGTCCACTCAGGCCCCGCCCTCACTTCTGCGACGTGCGCTTGAGTCGCTCAGAATCACTCTCCCGTTTGTCCCGTGCTTGTGCCAGAAGGAAATTTTCCTTGTGCACAGATTCCCATGTCATTAGCTCCCTCTCATCTTCTTTCGAGAGGGAGACACCTGGAGGGCGGAGTCCTGGTGAGTCAAACGGCCACGCCCCTTCCCATGCCCCGCCCCTAGCCCCTCAGCAAGGTCCCTAGACCCCGCCCCTGGGCCTCCCTCTTAGAACAGCCTCGCCCTCACACCTGAGCCACGCCCACAAGTCCTTCTGGGCGTCCCACCTTTCCATGTTTATGTTTCTCTCTAAATTTCCCCCCCTGTAGGACGAGCCCTGTTCTCACGGAAATGCTTGAGGGCCGGGGATGAGGGCAAGTTGGCCCAGCGACGCCTGCACAGTCGCCTGATGAGGAGGCGCACGTGGGAGATGATGATAAGGGGCGGGGCCAGTGCAGGCCGAGAGTGGAATTCCCGGATGAGGCTATAGCGCTGTGCCTTCCAGTAGAGGTCGCTGTTGCCTTGTACTTTGCCAAATGTGTAGCTGCAAGGCCAGAGGTCAAGGGTTACCTGGGGTCATGGTCCAATCAAGGACAAGGAATCAAGATTAGCTATCCGGCAACTTCTGTTCAACATCCAAGACAGCAGGTAGATGTCAAGGTCAATAAACTCAAGTATAGAGTTCAAGCTGAAGACAAGTCATTGAAAAAAGGACGGGACCAGGGCTCAGAAGTCAGCCTGCTTAAAAGTAACTAAAATCAGAAACAAAATGTAAACACCACTATCCACGTCCAAGAAATAAAAAGCAATGCAAGGGAATGTATGTTAAATTAGATAATTTAGATGAAATGGACAAATTCCTAGAAACACATAAATTACCTAAACTGACTCAAAAAGAAGTAGAAACTCTCAAATAACTTATAAGTAAAGACATCGAATTGTCACTGGGCACAGTGACCCATGCATATAATCCCAGCAACTCAGGAGGCTAAGGCAAGAGGATTGCAAATTCAAAGCTAGCCTCAGAAATTTAGTTGAGGCTCTAAGCAACTTCATGAGACCCTGTCTTAAAATAAAAAATAAAAAGGTTTTGGGGGCTGGGGTTGTTGCTTAGTGATAGAGCACTTTCCTAGAATGTGTAAGGCACTAGGTTTGATTCTCAGCGTCGCATATAAATAGATAAAATAAAGTCCATTGACAACTAAAAAAAATTTTTTTAAAGGGGTTGAGGATATGGCTCAGTGGTTAAGCACCTCTGGGTTCAATCTCCAGTACAAAAAAATAAAAATAATATATATTTTTTTCTAGTCAGGCACGGTGATGCTAGCCTGGAATTCCAGGCTACTCTGGAGGCTGTAGCAGAAGAAACTCAAATTCAAAGCCAATCTAAGGGATTAAGCGAGACTGTTTCAGAATTTTTTAAAAAGCAATTATATCACCTCATGACATTGTAGCCATTTTCGGTTATGGAAGTACACTCCACTTTTTGATGCTCACATAATGGAGAAATCACCTAACAAAACATTTCTCAGAACATATCCCCACTATTAAGTGACACACAATGAAAATCCAAGAATCCTGAGAAAGATCCCAGAACTAATAAATGAATCCATTCAAGTACCAGTTTCAAGGTACAAGAATATACAAAAATCAGTTGTTTCTTACACCTGCAATGAATAATCTCCAATGAATATTAAGAAAGCAATTCCATTTACAATACCAGCTTTAAAAATTAAGCACCTAGAAAGAAAGTTAACCAAAAAGGTTAAAGATTTGCACACCAAAAATTACAAAATATTACTGAAAAATTTTTTAAAAGAACTAAATAAATGGGAAGGCATCCTGCACTCATGAGTAGGAAGACTTGATATTGTTAACATATCAGTGCTACCCAAAGCAATCTGCAGATTCAATGAAAATTCCAACTTTTTTGTAGACTCAGAAAAATCCTATCCTCAAGGTCATTTGGATAGCCAAAATAATCTTGCGGGGGGGGGGGGGGGGGAGTCAGAGGACTCACCTTCTCAATTTCAAAATATGCTATGAAACTACAGTGATCCAAACAGTGTGATTTTTGGCATAAGGACTGTCATAGAGACTAGTGGACTAAAAGTCCATAAGTAAACCAACAAATCAATAAATGTTATAGGTAGAATGTAGCTCTCAAAAAAAGATATGTTTAAGTCCTAACCCTACTACCTCAGAATATGACTTTATTTGGAAATATGGTTTTTGCAGAGGTGATCAAGTTAAAATAAGGTCATTAGGGTAGTCCCTAATCCAATACAATTATCATTAAATGGGAAAATTTGGACAAAATTTTCTCTCTTGGAGAAAATGAAGCAGAGATTTCAATGATGCATCTACAAGTTAACGATGGCCAACAAACCACCAAAACCAGGGGAGAGGCGTGGCATAGATTCTCCCTCCCAGCCCTCAGAAGGAGCCAACTCTGTTGACATCTTCTTGTTTTGTACTTCTAGCCTCCAGGACTGAGAGACAATAAATTTCCACTATTTAAAGATACCTGGGTCTGGTTATGTTATTACAACTGCCCTGGGAAACAAATATAATGGCCAGCTGATTTTTAACAAGGATGCCAAGTCTAGTTCAATGGAGAAGGAACAGTCTCTTCAACAAATTGCCCTGGGATGAGTAGATTTCTTCAAGCACAAAGAATGAAGTTGGGCCTTTACCTTACACCATATACAAAAATTAACTCAAAATGGACCAACAACTTTATATAAGGGCCAAAATCAGAAAACTCATAGAGGAAAACACATAAGTAAACATTCATGACTTGGGCTTTGGCAAAAGGCCTGATACCAAAACCACAAGCAACAAAAGAAAAACAGATAAATGGGACTTCATCAAAATTAGAAGCTTTTATATATCATAAGGTGTTATCAGGAAAATGAAAACTAACTAATGAAAACATTAACTACAACTTATAAATAGGAAAGGACTTTAATATCTAGAATGTGTGAAGAACTGCTACATCTCAACTACAGAAGACAAGCAACCAATTTAAAAATGGGCAAATAATGAATATACTTTTTTCAAAGATGTACAAATGGCCAACAAGAATCATAAATCAACAAACAACATCAACAATCCTTAAAGAAATGCAAATCAAATCACAATGAGACATCTCTTTATAACCACTAGGATGACTATAATTTTGTAAAGAAAAGAAAATAACAAGGATGTGAAGAAATGAGAAAACTCATCCACTGCCAGTAGGAGTGTGAAATGGCACAACTATTATAGAAAATGGCTTGTTGGTTCCTCACAAAGTTGAACAGAATACAATGTGATCCAGCAATTCCAATTCTAGATGTACACCCAAAAGAAACAAAAATAAGGACTCACACTGATAGTTGCATGCCAATGTTTGTTGGAGCATCATTCACCATAGCCAAAAGATGGAAACAACCTAAATTTCTATCATAGATGAACAGGTAAACAAAATGTGCATGTATGTACCAGAGAATACTCTTCAGTATGAAGAAATGAAGGTCTGACATGTGCTACAACATGAATGTAACCTGGAAAACATTATGCTAAGTGAAATAAGCCAGACACACAGGATAAATATCATATAATTCCACTCTTATGAAACACCTAGAATAGGCCAGTCCATCTGAAAACTGATTTGAGGTTACCAAGGGCTAGGGGGAGGGGAAACACTTTCTGCTTGGGTGACGAAAATGTTTTGTATGGTGGTGATGATTGCAGAACACAGTGAATGGAATTAATATCACTGAATCCTACAGTTACAAATGGTAAAAAATGGCCAATTTTCTCTCTGTTTAGCCACAATAAAAAAAAAAAAAATTCACCCTGGGCTCAGGGCGAGAATCAATCGAAAATCAAGTCAGGAACAGGGTCTGGCTGGGTCTTTAGAGACAGGCCAGCATCAGATTTAAGTCAAACTATAAAATGGTTTTGGAGAATCATAAATCAAGATAGGGTCCACAAGGGTGGGCTGGGTGGGCCGGGTCAGAGAGCAAGGGGCCTCACCTGAACATGGCGATGAGCAAATTGAGCAGCAGGATGTTGGCCACCAGCAGGAAGATGATGAGCAGCAGCACCACCAGCCAGTTGGCATACAGCGAGACGCAGGAGCCGGCCTGCCTCCCGAGTGGGCGCGCCCAGGCACCCTGCTCCGACGAGCAGTTGATGTGCTCCATGAGGGCCACTGTGGAGGAGACGCGCAGAGATGGGACAGAGGGACACAGCTGTAAGAAGGCGGAGCTCGGGAAGGGAAGGGGTGGGCCGAGGCCCAGGGACGGGAGCCAGGGGGACGGAGACCCAGAGGGAGGGTGCCAGGGCCCTCCCTACCGTCCATGTCCTCCTGGGGTATCTGCCCGAAGATCTGCAGGTAGGGCCGGTAGAAGACCCGGCGCAGGATATTCGGGAGGTCACGGTCCCGAGGCCTCAGGAGCCCCTCGGTGGCCACGCCATAGGCGACCAGCCAGACACCAAGAAAGAAGAGGAAGAAGAACACGTCCTTCATCTGCGGGCAGAGGGAGAGGGAGAGACTGCCGAGCCTGGCCCCGCCCCGCCCTCAAGGCCACGCCCCCGACTCTGCCCCTCCTCCAGGTGCCCAGGCCTCCATGGCTCCACCCCTTTCCTTCTCCGGCCACGCCCACTCCAGCCCCGCCCCTCCCTCGGCGCTGCCCTCACCATCTTGCTCACGATGACGATCTTGGGCCCCAGTTGTTTGTTCACCGTGAAGATGTGCAACAGGCGCAGCGTGAAGACCATGAAATCCAGGCAGAGGACCGTGCGGCCCAGGTCGTAGAGGCCTGGAGTCAGCCTGGGGTGTGGGGAGACGGGTCAGTGCTCACTCGAGGGTCACAGCGCACCCTGGAAAATGAGTCTTCCCAACCCCCTGCCAAGGAGGCGAAGAGGCCGAGCCCTTCACAGGGCCTAGGTTTCACCAGGGTCTTGCTGGAACTTACTCAGCGCCAAGTTGGACCACACAAGACACTAGCACCACTAAATGTGGCTGAATGAACAGCTGCCTTAGCAAAAGCCCAATAGTCCCTGTAAAAATCGAGTTGGCGAAACTACTGAAATATCTGTCCAACTCATAAAAGGCAAAATATAGAGAGATCCTGCAAAACAGTAAGAAGACAAGCAACCTAATAGGAAACTGGAAAAAGGATAACCACATACACTCAATTCACAGAGGAAGTTTAAAGGGCCAACAAACACCAAGGATTCTCATGAGGGGGAAATAAAAACTACATCCCTTATCATGCACTTAAACTTTGGATAGATTAAACCCAGAGTAAAAAGCAAAAATTAAAAATTTCAGGAGAAAATATAGAACTGCTTCATGAATTAGGTAGGATAGAATGTCATATGAAGAAAGTCTTATGTAAAAATCGCAATAAGGAGCTGGCTGCAGTGGCTTCTTGGGAGGCTGAGGCAGGAGGATGATAAGTTTGAGGCCAGCCTAGACAAGTTTGAGGCCTTTCTAGTGAAGAAGGAGAGAAGGTGGAGGACTAGAACTAAAGCTGTTAATATCTGATTATGACTTTACACCATCATGAGTAGAAAATGGAAGAATCTTTGTGGAGAAGCTCTCCAGGTGATTTTTATCTCTTGAACTTCAAAACTTTCATCTCACTGCCTCATGAAAAGAACTAATTTATTCATTAAATTCTGGCAAAGAGCATCCAGTCTTGTCTGATCTTTAGCCAAAGATGGCTAAGATCCTATCTTCTGCAATTTGATGTGGATTTACAGAGAATAAGGTATATTTGCAAATACTGACAGAGAAAGACATATTGTAGAGAAAAAGAAAAAGTTGCCAGAAGGATATATAAAATATCGTGTCACTTGTACAAAAGATGTGATGTGTGTCACCCAGGGAAATGAACAGAAAAAGAAGAGGCAGGGCGTGCCCCAGACTGTTGTTGGAAGTCACCACTGGGACAGGAGGAGTGCTTGCCACGACTGGGGCAAACCTTCAGTGTCTGTTGTAGGTCCCTCTTCGTGGCTTTAATCTTGTTCAATGAGGAGGCATCTTTGCATTTCCTTGGCAGCAGACTATATTAAGAAGATAGTTAAAGTTGCTGCAAGATGAGACGGATGTCATGTGAGGAGTTTATATAGTGTGAGGACAGACAGCACAAGCCACGGTCAGAGCACATTTGGGGGGAGCTTGAGGAAACACAAAGGAAGGGCCCAGAAGCTTCCAGAGACAGGAACAGTAAGCTGAGGTCTAAAGGAAGTGTAGGAGTTGGCAAAGGAGAAGAAGGGGAGTGTAGAAGGAAAACAGCTTACACCAAGACCCAAGTACAAGACAGCTGTTTTTGAGGATATTTTGACCTGCGTTTGGGCACCACAGAGTGTGATCTGGAAACTATGGAAGAAATGAGCCAATATTATGCAGCCCAGCCCAGCAAGAGAAAATATGGAAAGTGAAGGCCTCACAATTTGGAGACATCTATGCAGAAAGGGGCAGCCACCAAGCCAGGCCGGGCCAGTGGGTGACAAGCGGGCCCACGGTGATCTGGCTGAAGGGACTCCCAGACACTGTCTGGAACTTCTGCCCCGGGAGAACCCCAGAGCAGCGCCCTGGAGGGAGGGGAAGGTCGAGGCTGCCCTGAGCCTGGGCACCAACCTGCAGCCCACACCCAGGAGGAAGCAGGTGAGCGCCACCAGGTCACATTGGTTCCAGGTGTCAGCGAGGTAGAGCTGCAGGCGGTGGCGCAGAGGGGTCTGGCCAGGCATGGGCCCCCCACTGGCAAGGCTGCCCCAGCCGCCACCCAGGCCCTGGCGCAGCTCCTCGCAGAGCAGCGTGAAGGCCCAGAAGTAGAGCAGCAGCTCGGCCGGCCCGGGCGCCGCCGGCTGGAAGTCGAGGAGCAGCACGTGGGCGAAGAGCAGCAGGAACAGCAGGTAGCTGACCACGTTGCCCAGGAAGGCCGTCACCGGTGCCCCCCAGAAGTGGGACCAGTGGCGCAGGCACCCGTGCCTGGCACAACCCCCGCAGCAACCCCGGGACCTTGGCTGCCGCTGCCCACCAAGAGGCACCTTCTCAGGGGCGTCCTTGGGCCTGCGGGAGAGAAAAGGGAGGAAGCTCCAACCAGATCTGAGCCTTGACCTTCTCCTGATCTACACCCCTCACCTTGCTCAACTGCCCTCTTCCCCTGCTCCCTTGGCATCCTGCAAGCTGAAACTAAGGCAAACGCCACCTTCTTGACTTTTGACCCTGGGTCTAACCTCTGACCTCTGAAATCTCCCTTGATCAAGTCTGCTGACCTCCCATCTCTGACCTCCTCCACCCTCGAATTCTAATTTCTGACCCCTGCCTGGCTTTGGCCTCTGTTCTTTCACTTCACAACCCTGACCTTGGATCATCTACCTGACTCCCAAAATGACCTGTGACCCCCTGACTTTCATGATTGGATCCCAGGTTTAACCCCCCAAGTCCCTAAATATTAACCCCTGCCCCACAAATTCCCATAGGAGATTATCTTCCCTATATCTGATAAGCGGCCACACAACCATACTAGACCCTGAATTCTGGCCTTGGGGTCTTCTCAGACCTCTGACTTTTCTCACCTGAGCTCTGATCCTCTCTCCCAATTTCATTCTGCCTCTTTCTTCTGACCCCAAATCAGAAGCACCCAAATGAACAGTACTGCTAATGGGCAATTCAAAAGCTAAAAGGAGGGCTAGGGTTGTGGCTCAGCAGTAGAGCACTCGCCTAGCATGTGTGAGGCTCTGGGTTCAATCCTCAGCACCACATAAAAATAAATAAATAAAATGAAGGAAAGAGAGAGAGAGAGAGAGAGGGAGAGAGAGAGAGAGACAGAGAGAGAAAAGGTAACAAATGGAATTGGAGAGATGTCCTTTCTTTAAAAGTTGAGCAGAGGGCTAGGGATGTAGATCAGTGGTAGAGTGCTTGACTAGCATATAGGAATCCCTGGGTCCATCTCCAGCACAATGAAATAATAGTAATAATAATAATATTCATAGTTATAAGTTATTATAATAATAGTAAATTATTATTATTAAAATACTGAGCAAAAAGACAGTAGTCCAAAAATGAGCACAACCCAAATGTCATTAACTGATGAGTGGATAAATAGAGGTTTGTCCATACAGGGGACAATTATACAGCACTAAAAAAGAACAAAGCACTGATACACGCTATCACATGAAGAAATCTTGAAAATCAGTCATAAAAGACCATATAGTATATGACTCCACCTCTACCCAACCTTATTCAATGGTCCAGATGTTTATCTTAGTTTTTCTTTTCTATCATGATGAACAGTTTGTATTCTTTATATATAGTCTCACAAAACTATACATACACAATCACATGTCACTTAACAACAGGGACACATTCTGAGAAATGCATTATTATGTGATTTCATCACTGTACAAATATCAGAGTGCACGTACACAAACTCAGACAACTCAGGACTGCCCACAGGGTAGGCAGACATCCTGCCCCTGAACTAGACCTCCAGACCCACAGGGCCCGACTTTAAATGCCTTCCTGGGTACCACTACACAGTGACTAAAAGCAAGAGCCGTGATGTCAGAGAAAGTTGGTGAAATTCCTAAATAAACCAATTCCATAGGAGCTGAGGCTGCAGCTCAGTGGTAGAGCGCTCGCCTAGCAAAGCCCTGATTCGATCCTCAGCACCACATAAAAATGAATACATAAAATTAAAGGTATTGTATCCAACTACAGCTAAAAAAAAATAAATATTAAAAAAAAAAGTTCCAGGGCTGGGGATGTGGCTCAAGCGGTAGCGCGCTCGCCTGGCATGCGTGCGGCCCGGGTTCGATCCTCAGCACCACATACCAACAAAGATGTTGTGTCCGCCGAGAACTAAAAATAATTATTAAAAATTCTCTCTCTCTCTCTCTCCCTCTCTCCTCTCTCACTCTCTCTCTTAAAAAAAAAAAAAAAAGTTCCACATGATTCCACTTGGTATTGAGGAATGGAAGCACCTGTGGCCCGAGATAAATGACCTCTAGTGATGCTTGATGACTAGTGAGATGGGCTCAGGGACTCCTGCACAGCCAAATCTTGAGCCCAGTCTTGAAGCTGATATTTTAGAAATTTCTTCAGTGTCTTCAGTGGCTCACTGAAACCTTTATTATTTCTCCAAGTTCCAGTTACCACCTCTGCCCTTGCTCTTGCTCCCAACCCCTGGTGGGACACAGAAGCTACCCATACCTGTCCTGAGACTTCCCAGGGTACTCCCACCTCCCACTGCCCTGGAACTGTCACTCACCCAACGGGCCCTTCCCCGTTAATGCCCGAACCCATGTCTAAGTCTGGGTCCTTCTGTGTGGACTCCTCTTCTGAATTCCTGGCATGAAGAGAAGCAGCAAATGAGGAATGGAGGGGGAGAGGTCTCCCAAAAGACTCCAATTTCTTCACCCAAAGACACTGCAGGGAGACAGCAGCTGGCCTGCTGCAGTCACCCCAAAGGGGCCTTCCCCAGGAACCACAGCCAGAAGCAAAGGAGCTGCCCTAGAGACACTGCACAGCACCCCACAAAGCTCACCTTCCAGAGTACTCCCTCCAGGAGAGGAGAGTCCCTTGCCCCGCATAGGGACACACTGGGTGGACCAAGTAAGAAAGTGGGCAGGCGCGAGCAGGAAGGAGCAGCCAAGCACCCCACTGCCAGCCTCACCCAGGGGACTGACCTGAAGGTGATGAGGTTGGCGTAGATGAGTGGGGGGCAGAAGAAGGCGAGAACCAGGGCCCAGATGGGTGTGGTGCTGTCCATCTCCCCCCACCATTTCTGCGTCAGCAGGGACTGTGGGGCGTGGGGAGGATTAGGAGCCTGAATCTCCCCGGAGCCCCTTCCCTAAGAGGCCCCACGGCCTGGGTCACAGCTCCACAGCACAGAGCAGGTTCCCCACGTGGAGGCCATAACTGTCTGGGGTGGTGGAAGCCGTCCACGTGGAAGAGCCTCGGGTTTGGGCTAGCAGAGATTAGCAGCCATGTTTCTTACACTCTGCACTGGACGCTGGGCTAAGCCCTTTCCCTAGATGAGCGCACTTCACCCTGGCCACACCCGCAATGGGATGGTCCTAGTATTTTCTCCTTTCCCCACCGGACGCGGACAGGATAAGGAAATGGCCCAAGGAGACGTAATCAACAAGTGGTAGGTCTGGCACGGAGTTTCACCAGAATTCAAAGCAAAGGACTGGGTTTACCCCCAGGTGCAGATGGGACTCCCTGCTGGGTGGGCATTAGGGATGGGAACTTCTGAGCTCCAGTCCGATTTAATTTAAGGATGCAGAGAAAGTTTTCAAAATGTCTGATTGTCAGGCTGGAAAGGCTGCGGGGCAGGCAGGCTGCCAGGGGGAGAGTTTCGTACACCAAGGGCGGGACTTCTGAAACCAAAGTTCGACCAGGTCAAAAACACCAGGAAACTGTCCGGTGAGGTCGTTCTACTTGCTGGGGACCAGAACCAGGCCCTCTTAAGGAAGTGGGAAGCACTTTCTGCCTGTGAGCCACTTCCTCCTGTGAGAGGAGGAGCCTCCCACTGCAGCCAAGGGCGACCCCTAGGCCACCGTGGGAAGGCTGGCTCTCTGCGGCAGCGCGGGGCTTCCTACGGGAGGAGAGCAGAGCAAGGCTGCTCCCCAGTGCAGGGCACAACCCAGTAGTCCCCGGAGTCCTGCTCACCTGCACCCCATCCTGGGCAAAGAAGGCCCGGGCATCGGCCTGCATGGCAAGCTGGAGGCAGGTGGCGTCCCCCCACAGCGGGCAGCGGCGCAGCAGGAGGCGGGCAGCCCTGTCTTCGCTGCTGCGGTAGCACGCGCCGAAGAGATCTGCGGGTCCGCGGAGAGGCAGGGGTGAGACGGGGCGGGAGATGCTCGGCCCCTTCCCGCGTAGCCCGGGTCCCTGCTCCCAGGCGCGCGGCCCATACACCGACGGCCATGCCCTCGAACTTGACGGCCAAGTCCTTCCGCCGCGCCGCCTCCTCCGCCTCAGGTTCCAGCCGGGCCATCACCCGGAGCAGCAAACAGGCCCCCAGGGCCGAGGCCACAGCGTTGGTGCCCTGCAGAGGCAGAGAAAGGGGGCCCGGCTGGGGTCACGGGGTGGAGTGAAGTTCAGGGGAGGGGGGCAAAGAGAGCCAGTGGCCGAGGAAGGGACAGAGTCAGAGGTCAGAAACCGACTGAGTTCATCAGGGGCCAAGGATCTGTGAGCCTCATGTGGACAAACACTGCGTGACTCCACGTAGACGAGGTCCCTGGAGAGACTGGCCACTCTCAGAGACAGAAATAGAACAGGGTTGCCGGGTGCTGGGGGGAAAGGGGGAGTTTTTATTTCAAAGGTACAGAGTTCAGTTGGGGGAGAAGAAAAAGTTCTTGAAAGATCATACGATGGGGCTGGGATTGAGGCTCAGCGGCAGAGTGCTCATCTAGCATGCGTGAGGCCCTGGGTTCCATCCTCAGCACCACATACCAACAAAGATGTTGTGTCCGCCGAGAACTAAAAAATAAATATTAAAATTCTCTCTCTC